GCTGTACTGTAGATTCTGCTTCACGTAGTCGAGCTGTTCTGACGTCCCTCGTTGAAATGACGTCTCGCCACGGAGATTGCCGAATATTCCTTGTAGGTTTCTTTTACACAGATACCTCCAGCTGTAACTGCACTGCACTTTTTTTTATAGATTTCACTTAACACTTTTTTATTTATGCTCGTTAACCTAGTTTCAATTTGTTGTTTTTAAAATAACTTGTGTTGATGTTGCTGAATTACTTTTCGAACTTTTGTTACATCTATTATTATGACTTTTCGGACTTCTGACAGCTGTCGCTATTTACGACAATTCACCACCAAGATGGCTGGATAAGTATGAACTTTTCACTAACTTGTTGATTTTAATTGATAGCAATTGTTTTTCTAGGAGCAAACTAGCGATGTTACTGCTACAGGTAAACATGGAAGACTGGCTACCTCGAGCCCGGAGATTACTTTTATCAAACGTGAACAAGTGAAGATTACTATGGCAACAATAACCAACATTTTTGAAATTTTATTTATGCAAATATTGATTTTTGAACTGAACTATGATGCATGAAATTTACATTTTCAGCTTTCTTGCATTTTTTTGCATCTTTTGACACCAATTGCACGTTTCTAGGTTAAGTTAAAAGTTATGCCAAAATTTTACTTATTTCGGTTTACTTAACGGTGAAAAAAATAATTTAAATAAAAAATCACACATTAATAACTTAAGCAAAATTTATACTTACATTTTAAAAATTGAGAGTGAAAAAAGTTCTTTACAAAATTCAAATTTGCCGCCAGAGTTAAGGTTGGCAACATAGTTGGTAATATTAAATGTTACTATGTTTTCTTTTTGGAATTTGTATTCAAGCGTCAGTAACGCCTGAAATTGTTTTATGTCTGTCCACATGCATTTCGATTTTAATTTTGTTTGTTTATAATAATCATCATTGAGGTTTTAAATGTTTTTATTGTGTGCGATGNGATGGGGCCCACCTACGAAGGCTGTCCAGGCCTACACGAGATGAGGCAGGATAAAGAGGGATAATCCCCCTCGATCCCAAATCATTGAGGTCAATTTCTAGCCATAGAATAATGGCATGGCAGTTATTCTCAGTCATCGTTAGTCATTGTCATTTTTGTTATAAATTTTCTAGTCAATTTACATAACTTTATCATACTTCATATTTGTGTCTCACAAAACTCTATTTTTCTATCTAAGTACAAACTATTTTGGTATCTAAAGATATCATGGCGCCCTGGCATTTATAAACCTACCCTGATAATTATGAAATTGTCATAAACATTCATAAAGAGTCTAGATTTCACATTCATAACAAATTTTATTAATTCTTTTGCATTTTTTATTAATATTTCAACTTTTATTCAACTTTAACAATAATTTCCAACTTTACTTAAACATACTTTTTTGACAAAGAATAGCTAAGAATTACTCAAAAAACCATTTTGTATGAAATTTAAGATAAATATAGAGATACAGTTTCAAGCTAGCCGTGCAAATCAAAAGGGAAATCAATTCAAAAACCGCCCGGTTAACAGCCTATGACAAAGATAGATAATTTCGCTCGATGTTGTCGCTCACATTACAGTTGTTGTCATTGTCAATGCGCGTGCGTCACATCTACATTTACAATTAGTTGTAGCATTGTATAAGTAAAATATTTACTTATACAATGGTTGTAGGTTGCAGCTGTTGCATATTTCCAATAAAGTAAATGCTTATTAGTCCAGGCGGCAGACGCCGAAAAGTTACTGTTGGTGACTTTTCCTTGGTAACCTTGAGTACAATAACAGATTAATTTGCTGACAAAGTATTTTATCACGAAAAAAGTTATTAACAATTTAATTACAAAAATTCGGTTTTTTAGTAGTTTTCTTTAAATAACTAATAATTTAATAACTTTAATTTTATACAAAAAAATACTTAAGACATGATTTGATTGTAATAAAAATACAAAATGGCGGTGGTCCGATTACGAAATTTGTAATAACAAAGCCGTGAGATTGAAAAAACGGTATAAAACGTCAATATCTCAAAGTAGCTGTAAAAATGTAAATTATAAACAAAAAGTGATAAAACTTTCGAAAACTATAGTTCAATATATATATATATAGGGAGGATATAGGAAGGGTAGTCTTGACTGACTAGTTAAGAAAAAAAAAAACAGTGATGTATTTGGGATTGCAGTCAATAGTGCTAAGGGCTAATGTAATAAGAACACTCTGTGTTGTTGTCAAGCTTTCGGAAATGTTTATTTCCTTTCTCAAGACATCTATAAGAAATAACAAAAATGCTTAGAATAATAAGTTATAAAAGCTTATTATATACTTACAAACGTGAGATTATCCTATAAAAACCATCAAAAACGAAGTATACAAGAACATTGTTAAAATTTTTAATTAAAAGTAATTGTAACTATAGTCAAACATTCTATTATAAACAATAATTTTTAAGTCAATTTTTAAAATTTAAACAACTACTACAGTAAAAAGGAGCCATGCCTTTGAATTGTGAACTATTTTTTCTAACTATCAGAACCAGTTTTTTT